CTGAGTACCTCTAGAAGACTTAGGCTGAGTCATGCCTCTGAGCAGCTAAGTACTAGAGAGGTCCCCCGTAAAGACAGTAGCGTAATTTAACTTTACATTTTCAGCCAATGGGCTTGTTTGATTATTGGACAGTATAGGTTATTGATATACACCTCTACCCCGATAAAACACGAATTATGATATAACACAGTAAAGCAGTGCTCCGGGCGGGGCTGCACGCTCCGGCGGATCAAAGCAAATTCGATTATAACGCGGTTTCACCTATAACGCGGTAAGATCTTTTGGCTCCCAAGAACAGCGTTGTATCGGGGTAGCGCTGTACCACTAGAGGGCTTATAAACTGCAAACATGAATGCAGTTGCAAATTCCAACAAAAAAGAGGGAGGTCCAGGAGACCTATAAAACAGTGGGATCTGACACATCTCTGTTCAAATAATTATTTAAGGTGTTGCACTTTGTATTGGAATGATGTATAGGTCAGTGCAAACCAAAAGTGAACAGGATTTGAACGTGCAGGTTTTTAATAAAGGAACCACCAACCATTAGTTCTGATGGAATTTTAATCATCAGAAAATATAGTTTTTTAGTTTTGAACCACAGTTATCAAAAATTAAAATAGACTAGATAAGATTACATCTGGAGAAAGTTAAATGATTGACAAACTAAATACTTATGGTTGCAAATATATTTGTTGGCTTCTTAAACTAAGAGTACTTTTGTATAAGAAATCAAGATAAGAACACCAGTAACGCAATAACACCTTAGGAGAAAGTCCCTTCGGTGGGCTGGTGTATTTCAGAGGAGAGGAAAACAAAAAAACCACCACTTCAACTTTACTCTCTCCCAGGTTCAGAAAGGATTTGGCTTTTTTATTCAAAAGCTCCTGAGTGCTCTTTTGGTTTCCTTGGTTTATGAATTTAGTAACCATGACAATTTTCTGAATAGATCAGTTGTGTGCTTGATCATCAGCTGCCTGGACTGGCTTCTAGAGTATGGGCTGTTCTGAAGTTATCCTGGCACTTTATACCCCAAGGAGATCTGCAACTGCAAAACAACCTATCTTCCAGCTCTGTTCTCTTTCTACTAATTTAGTAGATGTAGCAAGCTTGTCTCCAAGACAGTAGTCTGGAGAAGGAACAATTCAGCCCTATACACTTGCTGGTTTCTCGGGGAGCTGGAAAGGTAATGTTATTTGTTCTAATAGAAAATGGTTTATCATGGGGTTTGGAAGGAGGGGGAAGGAAAATGCATTTGGAATTAAGCATTTGATATTATTCAAGAGCTAAACTCTTATAACTGAAAAAGAAGCTCCAGTACCTTATGCTGGAAAGACATTAATTGAAAGTAAGGGATCTCTGCTACTGGCAGCTGAACTAAAACCATGTTGAAGGAAGAGGACCTTTAAGACTCTTGGTAAACCAGTAGCATTACTGGCAGCAGGAATAGGGTGGTCAGGCAACCTGTGAATTTGCTGGGGTAATGGTTTCTTGAGTGTAGGGCCATAATATCTGGTAAAGTTGGAGTGGTTTTTTTTTTTTTTACAGTGGAATGATGGAGGAGGATGAGTGAGGAATGCCAGAGAAAAGAAGTTGCAACATCCAATGTGCAGAATGATCAAAAGCTCAGATGAGGGTTTTATTGGATGGAATGAAGAGGAAAGTGGATTTATGTAGTTCTTTATCATACAGACATCCTGATGTGTTTTACCGGAGCACAGTTGAAAGCAATATTAAAAAGAGTCTTTAAAACTTAGTGAAGTATGGGCTATAAACAGCACTTACTTGGACCCTCATACATATTTCTTTTACCAGTACTTTCCTTAACAGAAACTATGCAGGATAGTTGTTTTTACTCTTTTAGACAAGATATGTAATGCCACAGCCACACCTTAAACCAAATTCTGATTCCTCCTCTTAATTTTATAATGCTTTGAAGAGCAGAAAATTGATAGATTCAGTCTCTTGGGTGGAAGGTTGGGGTGGTTTTTTTTTTTTGTTTTGTTTTTTGAGTACCATATTTGTGTGTTAGAGGAAAAAATACTTCAACTGAAAATTGTTTTCTGAACACTAAAATGCATCCCTATTCTAGTAGCTTGCTTAGTGAGCCACCTTTGTCCATGGTAAATTTTTAGAATAATTCCATTTATCCCCAGTACTATGTGAAGTTAGTTTAGCTCAGGCACACTACAACTCTCTTCAAATTTTATACATTAAAACTTACTTCATTTTCTATCTAGAAAAATAAATAAAACATCTCAGCATCAGGTCACATTTTTTCCCTTCTCTGCTACGTTCCTTTCCCTTCATCCCTTGCCACGTTGCCAGGTAGTGCACTTCCCAGCCTCTCCATGGCAGCAACACAGTTCATGTATATCCTTTGCTTTGGGGGGAGTGTGTCTTGACAAACCCAGAACATCCGCTTTGTCAGGATCTGTCTGGATGTTCTTGTCAGTTATACAAGCAATGTTTTGTCCTGGGTTTTTGTGAACTCTATAGCCAGGATCCACTAGCTGCGAAGAAGCAGAATTGGGAAAACATGGACAGCACCATGACTAAGTGCATGTATGCCTTGCAGAAACTATTGCCATCACCAGAAGACCTGTCACATGTTACTACTCCCTTCTTCCCCCTCTCTGCCCCCCCTTCCCCCGCCCATTAGTCAAATTCAGAGACTTACTCTGATTTCAGGCAGTCGTAGTGTTGCTGGCAAGCCTGTAGGAACTCAGCTGCATCACCACCACATTCAGGCTGTGATTGTGCCCATGCTTCTCACATTAGTATTTGGAGAGACATAGGAGGAAACAATAGGAAGCCTGCTGAGGAAAGGACTGAGGCTATGTCTGCACTACAGGGGCACAGCTACACCAGTGCAGTGCCATAGCATAGACACTTCCACCCAGTCATGGTCACTACGTCAACAGAACCATTCTTTTCTCTACCTAGCTGTGTCTACAGCAGGAGTTAGTTTGGCATAGCTACAGCACTAAGGCATGTGAGATTTGTACACCTGAGCCATGTAACTACGTCAATCTAAATTTCAAGTGTAGACCAGGCCTGAAACCAAATGAGAGAGTGAATAGGAACAGCAGAGAGAGAGAGAAGGAAATGTTTGTACAGCATGTAAAGTATAAAGGTTAAGTAACTAAATATTATAAAGGGTGAGAATTGGGGATGGAAGAAGGGAGCATTAGAGGAGATTAGAGTAGAAAATGAGCAAAAGACAAATGCACAGAATATAGCACAAAACTCAGAAGGAACGAGGACAATCAATCTGCATTGCTCCAGAATCTTAAAACAAAAGCTGGGCCTCCAGCTACAGAGCTGAAAATTCAGTGATGATGTTGGGATGGGACAAAAGATTGAAGCATAGATACGGTTTCCTACCATTCTAACATATTCCTTTTCTATATATCATGGGTCCAGATTTATTTTGAAATGGGAGAGGATTTGTGGTGAAGGGAGGTCTGGGTGTTACATAGCTGCAGAGGGACCCTTTACACTGCTCTTCCCACCGTTATAAATGCTCCTGTGCTAGCTTCCCTGACCGCACCAAAATAGACTGTCCTAGCTGTCAGTTTTTCAGTTTGAAAATCTAGTCTCTCACACTCACCAACATGCTCCGTAAGCCCCATAAGAACAGCTATAGGGAGTATTTATTTTGGCTGAGGCATGTTAAGAGATTTAATGAAGATGACGGAAACAATAGACTGCATCCACTGTGTACCAGTGCCCAGAGTGAGTGAGGAATGACCCCAAAACAGGTCACATGACAGTCTAAATCCAATCACTGTTTGGCTCAGACAGTCTTTGTAAAACTCAAAGGGCTTCCTCCAACCCCCATATACCTTAGAGGTTATACGCTGGTGCTGCACATCACCATAGTATGGGAGCACCCATGTTGGCAGCATGTGTGATTTCAAGTGCTTGATACATAAATTAGTCCCATTCCCCAAATTTCTGACAGATCTCTCTCTCTCATCTGGATGTGGATCCCAAGCTGCCTGGGTTGTGAGAGCTGATAAGGTCACAGCATTAGAAGGTATGGCAGAGACAGCAGGCCAAATTATAACTGCATCACTTTATTGGAGACTAATAGGGTTGTGCAGGTGTCTGAGGGCATAATTTTGTCTACAGCCTCTATTTCTGATAATTATCTGTGACAGAGTTCAACAATGACTTTCACGGTGAGTTTGCAGAGTATCATTCAGAATAGATATTTTTCTCATAATCCAAGTATCTGTTATGGTGTCATTGAGAGACAAACTCTATGATGCATCTTATATAGACTCACTTTTAAGAGTAGACTTTTAGTTTAAATGAAATAAGTATCTTTATGTCAGTAATACATTTTATGATTTCTTGTCAGGAAAATAAGAATGAAAAACATTTTAATCTAGTGAGATACAATCTCCAGCATAGGGAGCTGTTTGATCTCTACTAATTGGAAGATTGTTGGTCCCTTGACCTGGAAAAGATGTTCCCCTTTGCTATTATAACACATCAGATTTTCATCAGTGGGCTAAGTACATGGACTCTGTAGCTAACTCAAGATGATGTAGTATCAGTTTTATTTTTTTTCTCCAATGAATATTGTCACAAGAGTATTATAAGTTTTTAGCTGAACTGCTGATACCATGGTTTTGTTTACATCTCCCCCCCATATCTTTTCCTTATAATAGCCCATATAATCTCACATACAAAAAAAAAACCTAGTGCTAAGGTTGCAAAGTCAATCACTCAAAAGTGAGGAAATGCCAGAATGAAGGTTGCCCTCTTGTGCATGTACACTGTGATAGTCTCTAATTACATGATCACATACTGCTCCCCCTCCCCCCGAGGATTCCTGCCTCATACAGTGCTCAGGATGGATGGTGCTAGGCAAATGAACTAGCGTCATGCAGCGAATGAGGTTGTTTACAGGACTGGGGTGAATATAGTTCTTTAGGGCAAGTACCTCATTGAGAAGCAGGTTAACACATTTTACAAATACTAAATGCACTTTTTAAAAAACATTTTTCCAAAATAGTTCAGATTTTCTAACAACAAACACACTGCAAGTTGTCACATATATCCCAGAACACATGACTAAATTTTTGTAATTAATGTGCATGTTTTGTAAATACTGACACAGATTCTAATAGATTAATGAATTCATTTGACCTCTTTACTTCTCATTGAAAGATACTGGCTGAAGTACAGTTCAGCATATGGAGTCTATTCCAAGAAATGGAGGGAGAGAAATCAAAACACATGTTTTTCAAAAGTGCTGGAATGGCCGGATTAGCAGAAATTACAAATGGTCTGGAAGAGTTAAAAAGGTATTGTTTTAAAATCAGCAACATTGTGTTTGTGTTTCTTATATTTATGTACATTTTTGATTGTTGGCAATTCCAAGATCATATTTTCTTTATTTTAAGGTTTAAAAATATTCAGTATCAAGGAGAGCTGCTTGTGATATGAGCAGACAAATACCTAATTTGGGTATATACTTGTGTGAATGCTCAAATAGGCCAATTTAAGAGCTTAATTTGGGAGACGTCTTCTCAGTTGATACAGTATACAATATCTTGGGATGGGTTTTTGACAAGGATTTTGGAACAAGTAGAAAAGGTACTGTTTTCAGTTAGTCTGTGTCCTAATATAGGACTATGCTTTACCCAGAGCCCAGTGCATTCTGGAACAGTTGTCTGGCCAGTGCCAGAGGATACTCAAGCAGTACAATCACAAGTGATGCTTGTAGTTATGTACTTC